TGTCTCCTGGAAAGAGTGGTGAGTTCAAGTGGCACACCTTTTAATGAGAGGTGAACTGCTTAATCACTGCACCACCAGAGTTCCATACTGTTTAAAACACACACAAACAAAACATACCTGTATTTGTTGAGCCAATTCTGAGTTATAACAGCCCTACAACACAGAGTATAATGGTCCCGTATAGTTTCCAAACCTGTAAATCTTTTCTTTATAAAATCTTTATAGTAGTGGACTGCCAAATTGATCTCCATAGGATCCTGAAAAGAACTAGACTTGGAATCAACAACCCTAAATGGCAACCCTCGGTTTCTCACTAAATTTAACTAATGCGTTTGCTCTCTTAATTTCCTCATTTAATAACCAAAGTATTTCTAATAGATCTTGTACAGAAGTAAAAATAACCAGTGCATAGCCATTTTGCAATGTTAGCATTTGTGATAGGTTGATATCTTCAGTGTAATTTTATAAACTATACCTTAATAAAATAGTAGACCTTAAAGGTTACTTCAGAATCATATACTTTTATTTTCTAATTTTATAGGTAAGAAAATAGAAACCTACAAGGAATAAGGAGAATAGTGTGGATAATATATCCAGTTAGAATGAAATGCATGACTGTAACCCAGGTTACGCGATTAAGCATTCTGTGCATTAATCCTACCTGACCTTAAGGAAGTTATTACAGTATTTATAATTACACTATTTATTATGTCTGTGCTTTTTTCTTTTCTGTAACATCTATGAATTGCATAGCTTTGGAAACTAACCAGTTTCCTACACTCCATTAAAAATAGTCGTATTTCTCATAAAAATAATGTAGAAAGTGTATAGCTGGTACCCAGATTATAACATATTCCAGCTACAATGAACTGCACTTAATAATTATCATTTTAAACATTATCTACCACAGGCATGCTTCAGCATATAATTTGCTGATATTCTCTTTCTCACATATTCACTTGCCATTGTTTATGTGAACTATTTCCAATCCCCAAATAACAATAAAGATCAGATTTATATATTGATAAAAAATAATAATATTGAAAACTAAAAAATAAAAAAATAAATATTTTCTCTTCTGAAGAACCAATTTAATACAGGGTTGCTGGAATGGAACTCTATTCTAAGTTGAAGTCCACCGTGGTGAAACTCCATCTTGCATACTTTGGGCATGTCATCAGGAGGGGTTGTTGTTATGTGCTGTCAAGTCACTTGCGACTCATAGCAACCCTATGTACAACAGCCCTAAACTCTGCTCTGTTCTGTGCCAATTGCACCATCTCCAATACACCCATCCCGATTACCCCAGTCACTGAATCAATCCACCTCCTGCGCTGCAATCCTTCCCCTCCTGCGCTGTCCCTCCACCCTACCAAGCTTGATGTCCCTCTCCAAGGACAGGTCCCTCCTTAAAACATGTCCAAAATATATTAGATGGAGCCTCAGAATCCTTGCCTCCAGGGAATCCTTGCCGCTTGGTTTAACCCTTTCTAGGATGAATCTGTTTGTTTTCCTAGCAGTCCATGGTACCCACAATACTCTTCTCCAGCACCACAGCTCAAAGGCATAAATTCTCCTTCTATCCTCCTTAGTCATTGTCCAACTCTCTGATGCATAACAGGTGATGGCAAAGACCATGGCCTGTATCAGATGCACCTTAGTCTCCAGAGAGACACCATTGCTCTTCAGTACTTTGGAGAGGTCCCTAACAGCAGACTTTCCCATGGCAATGCATCTTTTAATTTCCTGGCAACTGGTTCCAAGCGTGTGACTGTGGAGCCAAGCAGACTAAAGCTGTGAACAAAAAGACTTATATTGGGAACAGTAGAGGATCAGAAAAAGAGTGGAAGACTTTCAACAAAATGGATTGACTCAGTGACTTTAAGAATGGGCTCAAGCATGCCAGAGATGGTGAGAGTGGTACAACACAGGGCGGGGCTCAGATCTTTTGTTCATAGGGTTGCTGTGTATCATAGTTAACAAGATAGTGAATAAGGTGATTGAGTAAATGGCATTAATAACATATACTTTTCAGTAGTATTTTCCATTTTGTTGTTATTAGGTGACTTGTGTATTTTGTTTTGATGTATGCTGTGGAGCAACATGAAAGAGAAAATAATTTTATTTGTTACTTTGATTTAAATATAGTAGGAAAAGTATGTCTTTAATGGAGTAAATTTTAGTGAAAAATGGAAATTAGACAGCTTTAAAAGGAATATCAGCAGCTAGCCAAACCCAATGAAAACCTGTTATTTAAAATCTAAATTTCTTCTTCCTTAAAATTTTGACTTTTGGCCAGACACATTATCAGCACCCTCTTTGATCCACAGTAATCTCCAAATGAGGCCTGAGGGATGCATAAATCTTTTTGCCACTGTTGAAAAATCCCTGAAAAATCTTTTTGATGTAAAAAATGAGTAAAGACAGAGCTGTGTATCTATAAATTCCTAGATAAAGCTTTCAAAATACTTTCTCTTCCAAATAATCATAATCCCAGTCAACATCAAAGATGGACTTTCAACAGATTTGAAACAAGAGTGGAGCTGAAAACTATACCAAGCCTGAAGCAGTAATAAATGAGGCAAATTGAGGAACAATTTGGGCCGTAATGAACAGTATTTCAGCAATCTCAGTGCCAAGACAGGGCTCCTATCTCCTTCCTCCAAGCTGTCTACCTTTCCACTTGCAGCTCTTTTATTTATTCACAGAGTTGAGTCAATAGAAAACTTCGGGAACCTATAAGCAGAGTTTCAGCTAGTTTTTATAAAGAAAAGTAATGATTAAATTACCAAAGCAGTCGTGGAAATTGGAAGACCCTAGCAACATGAAAACTCAAATAACAAGAAGTCCCCTCGAAAAGAATGCTTATTCCAAATAATTTGGTCATTTAGAATTAGTCAGGTTTCACTAAGTAGTCATATTGCTTCTTTTTGACACCAAAGAAAATAGGGAGATGGAGTGATTGTGAAATTTCTCTTGTGGAACTCTCTCAATCTTGCTAGCAGCTCTTATAGATTATTTATCCTCTGTGTTTGCAGCCCATTTTCAAATGTAATCTTGTTTAGGTGTACTTTCAAATTAAAATACAAACATCTGCCTCAGATACAGGTATAGAAATTATATAAATCCACAGTAATTGTTAAAACTGTCTATTGTAGTAAACAATTCTATACAAATATTCATGGTTTTAACACTGCTGAAATTGATAGTTCAAGTTTGATAACCTTCCATAAAACTATCTCTAAAAGGAAGTGTTTCCTGGTCTCATATTTCTTTTTCAATCCTCAAGAGGTAAATATCTTGTCTGTTCCAGTAAAGACAATATACCTCTATGGCATAATGTTACCTTACTTTTGGTCTTCACCAAGTACCTCCATCACATAGCCAGAGCCCTTTCTCTCACACAAAAGAACTCAGATGAAGTAGTCCATAGCAGAGTGCTTTGCTAACTAAAAGATTTCAAAACTCTGGGGATTTGAAGCCATCAGTGGCTTTGAGGAATATATACAGTCTCTGTCTATTAATATTTCCAGGGAGCTCTGGTGGCGTACTGGTAAGAACGTGTGCTGCAATTGCAAAGACATGTGGTTCAAATGCAATTTACTGCTTCTGAAAACCCACTGGAGGGTCAACTATGAGTTGTTTCTGACTCGATGGCATACAACAACAACCTATTAACATTTACAGCCTCAGAAACTCGATAGAGGATTACTGAATTGGCTCTGGCTCAATGGCAGTAACCTTTTTTATTCTGTAGCCAACTTGCCATAAGTTTCATATTCCACCTAACATTAACTGTCATTAAAGTACACAGCAATTGTTGCAAAAAAATGGATTCCAATTGACTAAAATTTCATGCAACTATTACTGAGTTCTTTCTGAGTGTCCGCAAACACCAGTATGCCTTTTTCTGAGCCTCTATAACTAGCTCAGTGTCCACCTTAAGGACAAATGCTTACGTGTTTTAAAAGAAGAGTGATTGCTCCACTCAGTCTCTGGGGATCTTGCCTATTTTGCCTCATGTCAAACTCAGAAAAGAAGATGATTTTGGGTAAGCAAATCTGAAAATGGTAGTTTCACTTAAGGGATATGTCCCCTGTCATGTGTGGGAAAGTTTCAGCCTGTGCTTGAAGCAGGTGTTTGCAGGGTGCATTGTAGTGAATGAACAGGTGGTCATATAGTATGTAAATAGTGTGTCATTTAATACCTTTAAATCAATATTTTCTTGTGTGCCATCAAATCAGAGTGACTCAGAGCTGACCTTCCAGAGAGTTTTAAGAGCAGTAAATAGCCCAGGAGGAGATTGTCCATCTTTCTTCCATGGAGCATCAGCTGGATTCAATCCATGTTCCTTTAGGTCGGCAGTACAGCTCCATTAAGACATCAGAGCTCCCAAATTAATATTAGGGAAGAGTATATTTTTGTCTATGACACTCTGATAAAAAGTTGCACCCCATAAAGTAAAAAATGTGTCGAGATGTGTGTTTAGGGGGTGTGTGTGTGTGTGTGTGTAATTGTGTGTATGTTGACCCTAGAAATTTTGGCATGATTTTTATTGAATGGATATTTATTTTACTTTCTGAAATGTTGTTAGCCCATGTCATGCTTCACTTTTGGCTGAAACTGAGTCAGAAAAATTTATCTCTGCTTTAAGGATTTATATTAGATTGTTAAAAAGGAAATGATGGGAAAGAGACTATGAGTGGAATCAAGAGAATATTTCTGTACATTTTCTATGCATGTGGCAAGTCTTGTACAGCTTTGTAATACTCTTTGCATCTTTTCTAATCCTGATCATCTTGCATGGCATCACATGTAGCTCAAAAAGGTTGACTATGAAACCCCAACCTGCCCCTCCACCCACATCAGTTCTGTGATTGCTGGAGCCTTTTTCTGCCTTCCTTGCACTCTTTCACTTAGAATATAAGAATCCATTCTCTGGAATGTGCATCCCACTGGTAACTGAATTCTCCCCTTTTTTTTCTGTTTTCAAGGATGGGAGGAACAGTTTTATTGGACACCAACTGGGCGGGGTAGTGGAAGTGCCAAACAGCAAAGACCAGCGGGTCAAGTCAGCCAGAGCCATTCAAATCACCTACTACCTCCAGACCTATGGCTCTGCCACTCAAGACCTCATAGGGGAGAAGTGGGAGAATGAGTTCTGTAAGCTTATGAGGAAGCTCCAGGAGGAGCACCAGGACTTCCAGATCTACTCTTTAGCATCCTTTAGCCTCTGGAGAGACTTTCATAAGACTAGCATCCTGGCCAGGAGCAAGGTCCTGGTGAGCCTTGTGCTGATTCTGACCACAGCCACCCTCTCCAGCTCCATGAAGGATTGCTTACGCAGCAAGCCCTTCTTGGGCCTCCTGGGGGTGCTCACAGTGTGCATCTCCATCGTCACCGCTGCAGGGATCTTCTTCATCACTGATGGAAAGTACAACTCCACCCTGCTGGGAATCCCGTTCTTCGCCATGGGTAACTATCCATCCTTGTGGTAATCGGATTCTTACCGGTATGGGGCAAGGTAGTACATTTCTTGAATTCTCAGGTGAAAATCTATTTTCTTTTGCATTGTTGTTATCTATGTGGTTATATCAAGTTTCACTTTGGGGTGGTGTCTGTTTCATTGTATTGAAACTTGCAACAAATTATGAATTGACCAAGCTCTCTTTCTGTTTATATCTGGGTATTTAATGCTGTGAAGTGTTGTTAAGTTATATAATACTGGAAATGTAGTCCGAGATTTTCAAAATTATTAGTTGGAGCATTATGGGTCTACATAACTTTACCTTTGTGATTCATCTCATTGATTTTGTTGTTGGGTGCCTTGCCTTTACTGTCACTCGTAGCATAGTTGTTGTTATGTGCTGGCGAGTTGAGTATGAATCATAGTGACCCCATGAACAATGGCTCTGAACCCTGCTGTATTCTCTGCCATCCTCACCAACCCTGATGTGCTAGGGCTCATTGTTACAGTCACTGTGTCAATTCCATCTCATCAACGATTTTCCTTTCTTATGCTAACCCTCTCATGGACATTTTGAAATTGATATTGGTTAACTGTGCTGTGTTGGGATGAACATTTTGAGACCATTGACAAATTCTAAGAACTCTTTTAGTGAACTTGGTATCACGTTCAGCCTACAGTTTTTGCTGTACATGTACTGCATATTTCAATCCCTGTATAAACGGAAAGTTCTCCCAGCCATGTAGAATTCATCTACAAAATGATACGTTTATGGAGGGGTAGGGGGTCTGTGTTCTGTGTGTGTGTGTGTGTGTGTGTGTGTGTGTGTTTGCTTTTACAAAAGAGATGACAGCTAGGAAGAAAAAAGAGTGATCCTTCATCAAAACTAATGCGTCTTATCAAAAAAGAGATGATGACACAGATGTCTGGTAGTGCAGGTGGCTGTGTCAGTTGTGATATTATTCCCTATGAAGAGATTGATGTGTAAAAATGACCTTTAGGTGATGAATTGACATGAGCATTAGAGTATTCAGCTAAAAAAAAGAATAATTTCCTCTCTTTGGGCTAAAATATGCTCTAAATTACAGTTTTATTGTTAAATATAAAAGGTCCAGGCATACAAAATCTAGATGATTAATATGCTGTCTTTCCATTCTTCTTGACTAATACTTTTTTTTTTTTTTCACAAAAATAAAAGAGGGTGATTCTGCAGAGTTGATGTATATTGTAGCTTCTGGGATTCTCTATCTGAAAACACAACTTTGCTGTGACCCTGGTCAATTAGTTGGCCTCCTCCAGCCCCAGCTTCTTCTATGAAATAAGAACAATAACAATACAGTTCTAGATTTGCTTATTGACTAGAATAGAATAGAGCTAAAGCCAAAAACCCATGGCAAATGTATCTCTATCTCTATCGCTCTCGCTCTTTCTCTCTACCTCAATAAGTTTTATCTTTATTTTGGTATCATAAATACAGTCAATCAAATGATGGACAAGAAACAGTCTTTCAAGATACTAAGAGTTTTGTGCTAGCTTTGACAGCACTTACACTAAAATTGGAACAATACAGAGATTACCATGGCCCCTGTGCAGAGATACCGAGAGTTTTCCTAAACTTAATATAGAGAATTCATGCCTTTGAGCTGTGGTGCTGGAGGAGAGTGTTGAATATACCATGGACTGCTAGGAGAACAAACAAGTTTGTCCTGGAGAGGGTGAAGCCAGAATGTTCCCTGGAGTCAAGGATTCTGAAGCTTCTTCGTCTGACATACCTTGGGCATGTTGCAAGGAGGGACTGGTCGTTGGAGAGGGACATCATGTTTGGCAGAGTGGAGGGACAACACAGGAGAGGAAGACCTTCGATGAGATGGATCGATTCTGTGACTGGAGTGGTGGGAATGAGTGTGTTTGAGATGGCTAGGTTGGCACAAAATAGAATGGTGTTTAGAGCTCTTATACATAGGGTCACTATGAATCGCAAGCGACTCGATGGCACAAAACAACAACAACAACTGCATATTTATCTTATTATTGAAACACACTTTTATTTTTCCTTTGTCAGTGAAAATGGTGGTCTAGATTTGAACGTTTTTGGGATTTTTTTTTTATTCTGTTTCATGACTTGAAACAATAAAAATCAACAACATGACTCACAAATAGGACATGGCTGATTCTAGGCTTAAAAATTTTATGTTAGTGCTTATTTGGATTTTTCTAAAAAATGGTGATAAGCTAATAAAGTTATGGAATGATTTGCCTGAAAAGATAGAATTATATATTTCACATATTATGATGAGGCAACTCTGGTGGTTAAGTTCATAGGGAGTTGCACTACTAATCCAAAGGTCACAATCTTGGTGATTCAAATCCCCCAGTGACTTCTTGGGAGAAAGACAGACAATTTCTGATGTAGTTTATATCCTTATAAACCCAAAGGAAAATCAGCTATGAGTCAGTTCCAACTCAGCAGCAATGAGTGAATGAGTGACTCTATTAATGTAAATAGTTATCTCTGTTAATGTTGAATTAGAACATAAATATTCTAAAGTACAGTAGTGTTTTTATTCTTCAGACAAATAAAAAACAATTAACAGGCATAGTGCGGAAAAGTCTAGACTCTGCAGTACCTATTTTTCTGTCCTCCTGAGGGTCTTGAAAGCCATAAAACAGCCATGAGTTGAGCAGTGTAGATACAGGCTGTATCTAATCCTGTAATTTGAGTTTTTAAAATGTTCTGAAAATAAAGACATTTTGTCTGTGCTCTGGAAACAAAGCAACTAAAGGCTTATAAATATATACTTACTTAAGGTTTTTTTCTCCATTAAGGGGAAAACAGATTTCCTTTCTTCCTCCCACCCTCCATTTCACCCTCTTTCCATTCTTTTCTCCTTTTCTTTAGATAAAATAACTTGTGGAAAAGATATCAAAATTAAGAAGTCATGGAATAAAAAGAGCATTTCATAAAGTAAACCTAGGTTCTCAGTATAGTGGTTTTGCCCCAGTTTTTCACATATGAAATTAAGAATTTAGACTCTTTAGGCTTACATTTTCTAGATCATATAATAGTATTCATTTCTTTCGCCTTTTGAAGTTTAGAATTATTCATGTCTTTATACATTTAATCTCTAGCTTCCTATGGTTACTGCCTAATGTTAATAGATTGGAGAAAATATAAAGGAAGAAAGTAAACAACAACTATGAGAGAAAAAAGACTTCAGAATTGGAAAAAAAAATAATATCACAGCCGTGAAAAGGTGGTGAGGTGGAATGTGATACCAAGCATAAGAAAACTGAGGTGACAGTATGTATAAATCTACTGGTGGTGATCCAGTCTCTTTTGAGAAGAGATATGCCAAAACACATGCAGATTTCCCAGGAACAGAAGCTCAGAAGAGACCAGGGCCTTCCCTCAGAGCTGACAGAGCAAGAAAGCCTTCCTCTGGGGCTGATACCCTGAATTTAGACTTCTAACTTACTAACCTGTGAGAAAATACTGTTTTGTTTGTTAAAGCAATATACCCTTGTGGTATTTTGTTACAGCAGCCGTGAATAACTAAGACAAATGGCTATGTAGAGACTATTTAGAAGATAATTGCAGAATCTACATGGGATATAGTAATTGTTTAGCACAGCCTGGTGGAAGTGTCAGTAGGAATTTGAACCAGAATATATATTTAAAAATACAACCGACTAGATTTGGTGAAGGACTGAAAATGGTATATAAGAGTAGCCAAGTGTGACCACAAGGTTTGGTGACTGAATATCTAATACAATGCAGTTGTCACTTACTAGAATAAGGAATTCATAGGAAGGATAAAGTATAGAGGAAAATTGAGAGTTAAGTTTGGTTTGTTTGTTTGCTTACTCACTAGAAATATCTATTAGGTTTCTAAATGAAGAAATGTAGAGCTGGCTACAAAATACATAGTGCATTCCAAGTTACAAGGTAAAATCTAGAAATCAGTGCTTGAGATGTAAGTTGAGAGTTGTCATAGAATAACCAATACTGAAAGCTATGGAATCTCCTGAGATCAGTGAGACAAATAAATAGCGATTAAAAGAGAAAATAATTGGAATTGGAGCTCTGGGTATCCTAATGCTTTATCGTGTGAAAATATGAGAATGGTTCCTAAAATGACATGCAAAAGATCAGATAGCAAATAGGAGGAGAACCAAGAAGAGTAGTGTCTCTTTAGCCAAGTAAAAAGATTTTTCATGAAAGAACAAGATATTAATTATGCTAAAAGCTGCTGATAAAATGTGCCTGGTGAGAACTGTAAATTTGGTGTTTGGCTTGGCAACATGAAGGTCATTTTGACCTTAGCAAGAATGCTAAGAATTAAAGAGTAATAGAAGTAGTTCAGTTGTGTTTGGAGATAGAGGAGAAATGAAGTTAATGAGTTAAAGTAATTGATTCAAGGAGTTTTTGTATTGTCATTGTGTGTGAGTGAATGAATTTTGACATGTAATTAAAGACTGTGAGACAGAACAGAACTGCCTGGAATATTTATAGGAGGGAGCTCTGGTGGATAACGCATTGCACTGCCAACACTAACGCAGGCAGTTCGAACACACCAGCTGCTCTGTGGAAGAAATATGGACAGTCTCCTCCCATCCAATTTACAGCCTCTGAAAACCAGGTGCAGGGTCAGTTCTGAGTCAGGTCCGACTCAGTGGCACATAACACCACTGACAACAGTCCTCACAGGAGGAATTTTCTAGGTATGTTGTTCTTCAGAGCAGCTGTTGGAATCAAACTGCCAAGCTTTTTGTTAACAGCCATGCCACCATTGTGCAACTGGGGAAATACTAAAAGGGAAATATCTTTGCACTGATATGAATGTTAAATAGTGAAATTAAACTTTTGTAAAGCGGAGAGAGAAGAAAACCATAGACACAGGATTACTGAATAGGAGAGATGAGCCTGAATTGCAGTAACAAATGAAAATACTGACTTTATATAAGATATAGGAGATTCATCTACTATAAGAAAAGAACAAGTTAAATA